GTGAAGGAAGGAGTCGCTCCACGCTGAGTATCTAAATGAAGATCTATATTCGCATTCTCTGAAATGTCCCTTTCTTTAAATAATTGCCGTTACATCAACATTACGTTATTATTATATTGATATGTAAAATAATAAATTTCGGGTGCTTAATATCTCCTTATTTCACAACTTTATTTTCTAAGTAAAGTTGACTGTTTCCTTGAGTAGTGTTTATAGAGGTAAATTCCAACTATTAAACTGGTTTTAAAAGTGCATTTGTTGTTTTAATGTCACTTTCTCATTTCATTATATTTTCCCTTTTTTGACCTTTGTCCTGCTCTTTGACATTTCCCACGTGATTACTAATAACCAATGATTCACTACATTCGCCATTGCCGGAGTATGTGTAGTGTTTGTACAGTTTGTGACTGAATCGCTTGGTAACGGTAAGTATGTGAGTAAATTGTCCCTAATAAGAGGCTCCTGTGCATCTAATAAGGGCAACAATGTACAACATGGACACACGATTCCCAGCAAGTGTTCTCATATTCCTGTCAAAAGAGTCCTGGCCGAGAAACGGCGTCGAAACGAATCTCAGATTAATTTTAGGTGTAGATGCAGGTTCGTGGGCACTTGGGAGTGAAATTTTTGTTTTTTGCTTTTTATTATTCAAACAGTCTTTGCTATAGACTGTTACAATTTTGCAGCATTGTTAATAGTGGAATATACTCAAAAGACGATTTTAAAATATAGAAAACAGGTACAAACATTCTCTCTTTTGAATGCTTATCAAGGCTTAGCAAGGCTGTATATAAATATTCAAAAGAAACACGCTGAAAAAAAGTATATTTAACTTTTCACAAAACGATAATATATTTAAATTTGTAGCTCTTACAGTCATTTTAATTATGAACATTAGCAAACTTCTTACTGAGTGAATGGTTATGCAAATTAGCCATTATCTCCACTTGTGTTTTTCCGTTTACCAGGAAAGTTCAGATCTCACAATTCTTGTTTATTTCAAGTGAAACTGTCACACAACGTTAATCATTTTTTTTATTAACAAATGGGTGTCCAGGTGTACAGTATGTTTTTTTTTTCATATTACAAATTTGTCAAGCAGGATGTGTGCCGTATATTCAATCCTGGTCAGTATATCACACTTCAAATGACCGAGAATGCAAAGCTTTACAAATAAGCCCAGACATTGGGCTTATGAACCAATCAACATAGTTATTAATCTTGTATGTATTTAAAATACATAACTATAATTTGTTGGGGGATTCGCCATCTCAGATGGCTTCCTTGTTCTATTGCTTATCCTAACAATTGAACCTTTATTAGTCTGTGAAACGGTGTATTATTTGTGTGTGCATTTTTATACGCATATGAATGATTTTTTGCACTAAAGCTCTCAAACTAGGACCCAAGTCTATAAAACAGAATAGATTTTATGTTATAAAGTCACACAACTGTTCTCTCCATCCATGCATATCTTTCCCCAATACACAAGTAATTATTGTCAATGGCATGCATGTAATCCCTGTCTATTTGCAGTGAATATGTACTATAAAGCAGAATATTCATAAAAAATATTCAGATACAATGATTAAACAAGATT